TATTGTCTCCACAGGAATTCTAGGCATTTTACATGCAAGCTATAACAAATAAGGGTTGTCACAAACTAAATCTAATGGTATAAACAAATAAAAGTATAGATGTGGTAGATAGTATATATAAGTGGTGATGAAATGTTATGGAAAGAATTGAGTGAAGTGGAGTGAAATTGTTGTGGTGAAATTTTGTTGAAAATATAAAAGTATGATGAGACAAGAATTTAAATAAAGTGAAAAAGTATGCTAAACTGGTAAAATAAATTGAACTTTAGGAAATGAGATAAGACTAACAACCTCACACAATCAAGCTTCTCTAGAGGTAAATGACATGGATTTACTACGGTAATGATATTCTGTTCTACGAATGATCTCTGCTTCTATGAATATGTTGCTCAACAGGATTTGCTGAAAATGCTCCTAAACTCTTTCAAGCAAGGAACCTGATAAAACTAATACTACAAAAATACCTCTCAGCGTGAACTATAGCACTAGCCTATCGACCAAGTCCTATCCCTTTTAGTCGAATAAAACCCTCTCCTTATCTCTTAGGTGGGTTAAAACCTCCCCATCCCGATTTGGCTTCTTTACTCATGTAGATATAACCTAGCTCTCTCGATACTAGGTATCTATACTTAGAAAATGGCAATCTCTCAAAAGCTCTTACAAGACTAAGCATATTACGCTACAGAAAATTACAATCTCTCAGAAACTCTTATAATGCTATATCAAATAAAGATAGAAACAATGAGCAAAACAACATTTGAATATAGAAACATAAAACCCATCCATTAACATAAAATAAAATCATCCAACACAAATCCATCACCAAATAAGGTAATACATAGTGTGGCTAAGTTCATCCAAGATCATTCAAGTTTAGTACAAGCCCAAATAGATAGAAAAATAAAGCACAAGGAGAAGAAGATTCCCAAATGAGATGCTATCGTGACCTTTAGCTCCATCGCCATGCATCCCCTTAGCAAGTTAGCCTCTCTCGAGGTTAAGTTGCTACCTCCTTGAAGCTTGACTATGGATGACACACGAAAAGAGGATAAAAAGGAAGTATGAAATGGAAATGTGCAGCCGCCTTTCTCTTAGGTTACCTCCCAAAAAGCTCCCTTAAAAATGTAGGGCACTTTAGTATTTATAGAGGGAATATTTATTGGGTTTTGGGCAAAAAATTCCATTCGTACCCTAGGTGGAATCATCCACACATGAATGGCCAATTATTTTGATAGGTGGTTCCAGAATTTGCAGTAGGAGTGGTGAGTCACATGTGGCTGGACAACTTGGAAAAGATATTTTTGTTATTTTGTCTTTTCTGCTCTAGGTATTGTCCATCTTTCCCTGTGGAAAGGCTTTTAGCGTTATATCTCCAGAATGCTACAACAGTCACATTTTCTCCTTAAGCTTTCATCGCCTGCATAACACCACAAAAGCAAGACCTTTCCTTTAGCAACACCAGTTTATAATAAATTTGTACTGCAACAAGATTTTACCACCAAATGCAATCTACATAACCTAAATGCACTCTAAATGCTATGACATGGGCTTTAGAAAAAATAATAACCTAATTAACAATGTACAAAATGTAGCCTTTTTTACGGGTTTATCACACCCCCAAACATAACCTATTGCTTGTCCTAAAGTAATTGATAATAATCAGTAGAAAATAATGCTATGGTAGAAGTTTAGTCAAAGCAGTAGTGTTGAGATAAAAGTTCAGCCCTCATAAATAATTGGCTTCCAAATGCTAGACATGTAAGGATATCAAGAACTTTTCCCTAGAGCAGGACCCTTTGCATTGTGTGTGCGTGATTGTATCCAGTCTATGCTTAATGAAGTTTGAAAAGTTATAAGCTATTTCCCTATTCTAATTTAGTATTTTTTTACCAATTAAGCACGCAATTACTCCCATTAACATTAACTTAACATAATATTTTTAGGTACTAATACGATGGGAGTCAGCCTATCACAACTACCATTCACTATTGCTATAGCTACCGTTTATTGAAACGTAGTATACATGCAATGCTATGCAAAGCAAATTGGTAGAGTTATCCTCTGACTACATTTATTCACTCGTATGCTATAGCTGCCATTTATTGAAACGTAGTATCCAAGCACAGCTATAGCAAAGAGGAGTGTCCCTCTATAGTTATGTCTAAGTATTTATTCACAATTAAACAAAATTCAAAATATGCGGGAGTTTAATTCAGTCATATATCTATTAAGTCCATTGTTCAAAAAGTTATCCTGCAGCAGGCAAGAGTAATTTCATAAAAAATCTAAGTCCTTTAAGTATATAAAGTATACAATCAAGTATCAAAGGTTAACAAAGAATCAAGCTCTAAAGTTGGTCATATCAACCATAACAGTCATGTACATTCAAATCACAACCATGGAAAATTCTTTATCATCATTGGGCATCATTAACTTATTTCAACAAAAACTAACTTAACCTAACCTAATGCCATAACATAATTCTACTAATACCATTGAAGAAAATAATTAACTATGGACAATACCCCCCAAACTTGAAGGTTGCATTATCCTCAATGCATGAATACTAAGTTAACCAAGCTACACTACATGAATGTAAAAGCTACAAGAGGTACCTCATTGTGGTGGTGTCTTGTCCCCATAACATCTGATGCGTCTTTTCTTTGGGTTGGATTCTTCTGGCTCAATCTACTGGGTTATCTTGGTCGGGGTTATAGTCTCAAAAGTTACAGTAAATATTTCATTTACACGTTTGACTGACCTTTTCAAGCGATGTCTGGTCAGGCGTGGTTCCACCAACTGTAATTGAACAAGTAAAGGTGGGTTCTCTTTAGTTTCATCAGCAGAGTCTAGTACTGCTTCTTCATCGTTATTGTCGGTATCATCATGATGGGTATGACTTTGTTTCCTTGCGAAAAAATATCCTCATCCTTAACACTGGAAGAGGTCCAAGTGTCGAGTGACTTAATGTCATAGGACTCTATGGGCTCCGTAGCATTAGAGTGGTCATCCTCATCGGATTACTCGGCTTCAGTGGGTGGGGTAGTCATTGGATTGGTCTAGCGATCTATGGCTAGTGGTGTCTAGTCAGTAAATACTGTAACAACATTTTTTCCTCCAAATTGTCATTAGGAAAAGGAGAGAAACTATCGGTGTTTAAAGGCATCATATCCTTGAAAAAAGAGGACATAACCGCATCCCTTTGCCTCACATAGTTGAAGAAGGTGTGCAATTTGGTCTCCAGCTTCTCCATCACTCTTTAGTTTCTCACGAGGAGGTCACTATGGTCACCATTCTTCTCACAACAACAATTTTTTCACCTCTTTCGAGGATCTCCTTAGGGCCATTCTCTTTAAAACTCATCAGATTCTTAGTTATGCCAGCCTTCGTTGTGATGTTTTCTTCGAACATCTCCTCGTCCATCTTCTTCTTTTTTGCATATGGTGGTGATCAAGTTTAGAAAGATCAATATCCCCTTTTTTCACTTGAAATAGACATAAACTTGTTGGGCAATGACCTAACCGATATTGATCGAACACAAAAAATAATGGAATGTAAAAGAAGCATCCACTGTAGCGAGACAATTGTATGGTGCAATGTAGGATTTAATTGAGTTTTAATGAAGTGATTCCATACCTTTACTTGAGGCTTCAGACAATGCCTTTCCACTCTTCAGTTGCTCAGGGTTTCACCTTGCCATTACATACATTGGAAGTACAGATCTTCCAAGACTCCTATGTAGGTTTCAAGATCTGCCTCTAAAACAAATTATGCATGTTGGTTGGCCACGTTCTTCAGCTTGAAGAAATGCTTGTTGGCGGTCAATGTGAAACACATTTTCTTCCCCTACACCCAGATTCCACACTTTGTAGGCTTGGTAAGTTGAGAATAAAATTACCGCACTATGGCTGAAGCGAATCACTCGGGTGCTGAGCGAAAACCTCCCATTGATGTTTTGATATGACAAACGTTACTTCAGGGGAAAGTGACTCTTCACCTTCCTCTGGCAGAATAAAACCCTACTCTAAGTACATCGATTATCCTTTGATATGCTGGAATCTCTCATTCATCGTGTCATCTTTAAACTTCTCGATGGCGGTTTGTGGTGGTAGTTGAGAGGAAGAACCCTCACCGAAAATATTCTTGTATCAGGCCATCTCAATTGTGACAAAAAGAAAAGAAAAGAAAGCTTTGTTGTGGCGGTAATGGGGTTTTCACGGCGAAAAGAAGAAAAAGAAAGAAAAACTCAGGTGGTGGCTATGGCAAAAATTGGGCGGAGAAGAAGAAGTTGAGAGAAAATTTAAAGAAATAAAAGCAAAGTAAAGAAGAATGAGAGAAGGGGTGGTCAATTTTAAAGAAATAAAGTGTGTGGTTTTGGGAAAGGTAATGCAAAGTAAGCAAGAGAAAAGGAAGGTAATAATGAGGTAGAATATGATTGGTTAGTTTGGAAAATTAAAAATGAATAAAAATAATAAAAATAATTAAAAGGGATTTGCTTCCCCCTTTTTGTACCTTAACCAAAATTTGTTAGGTTTCTTTTTGTTATGTTTTAAGCACTCTCCCCATGCTACCACATGTCATGGATAAACTAGAAAACAACTAGAGTTAAAATTAAATTGAAAAAGAAAGAAAATAAATGGCTAAGTTAAAACCTTATTTATATACAAACTACGAAAAAAATGATGTAGCAAAAATTTTAAGAATTAAGTGGTGTAAACTCTGAACCATCATGGAGGAGAGGTGCTGACTTGTCTCTTATAATTAGGGCTCTAGTATACACGTTGAGGCATTATCCATTCATCTTAAAAATTAACCCATCATTCAGGTTTTTGATGTCAACAACTCCATATAGGCGCACGTGATGCACTTGGAAAGGCCCAAACCATCATAACTTAAGTTTGCTCAAAAAAAAGCTTTAACTTAGCGTTGTATAAGAGAATTTGTTGGCCTTCATGAAATTTCCACGACATAATATTTTTTTCATTTCATTGTTTGGTCTTTTATTTGTAAAAGCGGGTATTTTCATAAGCCTTGGCTTGAAATTCCTCCATTTCATTTAGCTCTAGCAACCTTTTCTTACCAGTCAACTGGGTGTCCTTGTTGAGCTTCTTAATCGTCCAGTAGGCCTTATGCTCTAGCTCAAAAGAAAGATGGTACGCTTTTCCATAGAACAACTTGAACGGGGACATGCCCAATAGAGTCTTAAAGGCTATGCGATAAGCCCAGAGTGCCTCAACGAGCTTCCAGGACAAGTATTTCCTCTTGGGATTCACCACATTCTCGAGAATCTGTCTGATCTCTCGGTTGGACTCCTTAGTATGTCCATTTGTTTGGGGGTGATATGCTGTAGTAATTTTATGTCTTACCCATACCTTTGTAATGCCTTGGCAATCAACTTGTTGTCGAAGTGGCTACCTTCATCGCTTATAATGGATCTAGGTACTCTGAATCATGTGAAGATATTCTTATGAAGGAACTTGAGCATGGTCTTCGAGTTATTTCTTGATGTTCCTATGGCTTCGACCCACTTGGACACATATTTCACTGCTAGAAGTATGTAAAGATCACCGAAGAATAATATCTATTCCCTATACATTGAAGAGCTCTATCTATAGAATGTTTTTCCATGGGACTTCATGTCTCTTCAAAATGTTCCCAGTTCATTGGTATCTATCATAGGACTTGTAGAACTCTTGTACATCCTTACAAAATGTGGGCTTATAAAATCCATATTGTAGGACCTTTGTAGCAGTCCTAACACCTTCAGTGGCCTCCACAAGGTGCGCTATAGAAATCTAATATATTATCCTTTTGCTCTTCTTCAGGGACGCACGTCCTAATCCCTTGGTTAGCACATTGCTTGAATAAATAGTGCTCGTCCCACTGGTAGTATCGTACATCATGTCTGAACTTCCTTCAGCCCTGGCTATTCAAATCAATAGGCAAAACACCAATAACAAGAAAGTTAACTATGTTATCATACCACGAACATGCCATGACAGATAAAATTTTCTCGTCAAAGAATTCCTCCTTGAGTTCTAAATTGTCATGGCCTTCATTTACAATATCCAACCTATATAAATGATCAGCAACTTGATTTTCAGTTCTTTTTCTATCTTTATCCTCTAAATCAAATTCTTGCAATAGAAAAATCCATCTAATAAATATAGGTTTGGCATCCTTTTTATTCACTAAGTACTTAATGACCAAGTGATCAGTGTGCATAATGACCTTAATGCCTATCAAGTATGCCCTAAACTTATCAAAAGTATATACTACGACAAGTAATTCTTTTTAAGCGGTTGTATAGTTTATATGTGCTTCATTTAGTGTGCGACTAGCATAATAAATGACATGAAAAATTTTACCTCGCCTTTGCCCAAGCACTGCTCCCACGGCGTAGTCACTTGCATCGTACATTATTTCAAAGGGAGATGTCTAGTCAGGTGGGACAATAATAGGCGATGTAACAAGTCTATCCATCAACTCTGTAAATATGATGTAGAACTCCTTGTCAAAAACAAAAGGTTGATTTTGCCGTAGCAGAAGACATAGGGATTTTGAATTTTTTTGAGAATTCTTTGATAATACTTCTGTAGAATCTTGCATGCCCCAAGAAAATCCTTATAGACTTCATAGTGGTAGGTGGAGTACATCGGATAATTACACTCATGAGGTCTTAACTATTTCAACGCATAAGCAGTCACCTTACCATCTTGCATCAACACACACCCAAGTCCAATAATTAACACATCACTGAACACCACAGATCTTTTTCTGATTCTGGTTGCACCAAAATAGGAGCTTTAGTCAATATAGACATCAGCTTCTCAAAACAACTCTATCTCTCATCCGTCCATTTTAACTTAGTATTATTTTATAACAACTTCGTTAAAGAAACAAAAAGAATAGAAAATCCCTCAACAAAACGATGATTGTAATACCCCAAATATTAGGTCGGTGACCATAATGAAAAGATTAAAAATGTAGAAGATTAAATTGAGTAAATGGTAAAGTATAAGAAGTTATTTAATTAAGACCAATTAATAAGAATGAAATAATGAAAGGGCTTTTTGGTCCTTTAAAGGGAAATGGAATTAAAATTCATTTTTATTAGGGATTTCATAGAGAAAAGGGGAAAAGTTAAAAAGGCTAGCTATTTTTCTTCTTCTCATTCTTCTTCCCCGTTACCCGTGCTCTCCCCATAGCCAATGTAAGTTTTCTTTGAGTTAGTTTATTATTTAGTTTATGGGCAAGTTTTGAAACCTTAATTGATATAGAGACTTAAGGAAAGTTCAAGGATGATTAAAACTAAGTTATTAGTTAAATATTAGAGGTTGAAGAAAATGGGTTTTGAGTGATATTATGAAATATGAGTTTTTTTTGAGGATTACAAGTAAATTTGACTTGTCAATGAAGTAAATAAGGGATTAGAAGCCTTAGATGTGATTAAAACCATGTTGGAAAAAGTAGTGTGATTCTTGGTTTGTAGTGTCCTTTACAGAATTTGGATGTTATAGGAAGATTAATGAAGGAAAGCTAGTTAGGTTAAGTAATGATGAGTTTAATAGTATTGTTGGGAGTAAAAGAAAGAAGTTTAAACAAAATTTGGGTAAAAATTGAGATGAAAAATAGGAAATCTGGGTAAGGGTATCAGTACTGGAAGAACATTATCGATATTATAGGTTTAAATTTAGGGAATTAGGATGAACAATATTAATACTGATGCAATTAGTATCGATATTACTGAGGGTATCGATACTAAGAGGAAGGTATCGATACCATGGATTCCAGAATGTAGAAATGGTATTGATATTGAAGGGAGTATCGGTACCATAATACAGAAGTATCAATACCATGCTAGGGATACCGATACTATTGAGCCTGAAATGTTTTAGATAAGATAAATTTTAATATAAATTGAATGTAATAATACTTTAAAGTATTATTAAAGTATAAATGTTAGAGAATATACTAACATTTGTATGGTATGTGTAATAATGGATGCTTGTGTAGATCATAACCAAGCTCTAGAGTCAAGCAAGAAAAAGGGAAAGAATAAATTTGCCGAATAATCAGACATTACTGCAGCATAGTAGTGAGGCATACCAGATGAGTGCATTTATTATGTACATTAAGAGTTATAGTTGCATTGGGTTAAATGCATATGTTGCATTGTTATATCAGTACTATGTGTACTATCGACACTAAGTGTACAACCCATAGAATTCATAATATTATTATGAATGACCATAGTGGCACTAAGTGTGCAACTCACGGAATTCATAAAATGTTTATGAACGACCATATCAGCACTAACTGTATAACCCATGGAATTCATAATATGTTTATGAACGACCGTATCGACACTAAGTGTGCAACTCATGGAATTCATAATATGTTTATGAATGACCGTATCAGCACTATGTGTGCACCTCAAAGAACTTATAATGATTTGAAAACAATTAATTTCGAATTTGATAGTTATGATATATTGATGTATTCGATTTCACCTCATTAGTGTTATTGCCTCACTAAGTAAATACTTACGTGTGGTTATTTCACGCGTAGATTTTTAGCGAGCAGAGTAAGGAGTGCATCTGACATTATCATTCAAGGGTCGTCTCATCAATAATTGTACAAAAACTATGTCCACTTTTGATGTTGTTAGCTGACATGTAATAGATTTATTATAATGCTCTAAAAAGTATTTTAAACATGATGATGTAAAAATTTTAAAGATGTTCGAACCTTTAAGATCTATTTCCATATTATAAGTAAATGAATGTTTTAGTTTATTAAATCAAAGCTTTTTATGATGGGAAAATTTTTATACTGGTTTTTCAAAAGTGGAAAGTTTTAAAAGTGATGTGACATCTATGACTCATGTACGGAAGTGTATACGGGAAATTGAGTGTTACATTTATTGGTATCAGAGCTACATGTTTAGCTGATTCTCGATCGAAATCGAGTGTATTTTAATGTAAAAAGGATTTACATTCCACTAAGATGTCAATGTTATTGATAGGATATAATTAGAATATGATTGATTTTACTCCTTACTAACTTAAATATTATCCTTATGTGTGTTATATTAGATGTCAGATTCTATGAATTTGCGAAGAGCGACCGATTAAGAATTTAGTGAAGGGTGGTCGGGTAGCAAGAGCTATGAAATAGTGAGCATCTAATCCCATCTAAAAATGCTAGTGCGCTGCACATCAGGGTATGCCTGTGCCAGAGTTTGGAGCCTTTATGCAAGCTCTTGATGCCATTTTGACACGGTTCCAACCTTCTTTGCTTCACCAAACTCCTCCAGCACCGTAATGTTAATCCCAAAAGAGTTGAGAAGTTTGGGAGCTCTTGAGTTATGAGGAGAAGAGGATGAAGGTCTGATGGATGTTGATTTATGACTAAATGATGTTATGGTGATATTGGAAATTCTTCAATGCTCAAATTCTGAAAAGTTGGGAGGAACTGTATCTTTACTTCGAGGATCAACTCGAGTGTGGTGGTCAAATACTATGATGTATGCATCACCTGAACAAGTGACCTGACAATTCTTTCAAGATGAGTTTAAGAACAGGTACATTGGGGAGCAGTTTATGCGGTCAATGCTGCTGAAGTCTCTTAATTTGAAACAAGACGATCGAGCAGTGCATGAGTATGAGGTTGAATACAACAAGCTTAGCCGTTATTCTACTGAGGTAGTTCCTAATGATAAAGCCCAACGTGATTGGTTTATTGAGGGTTTAAGGCCTAAGTTGAAAGAGATGATGTTGGCTTTAAATTTGTCTAGTTTCCAAGAAGTTATTAATCAAGCTAAGGTTATTGAAAAAGCTCAAGAGGAGACTCTAGCAGCGGAGTAGAGTATGCAGACGGGAAAAAGAGTTGGAATGTCTTCAACATCCCATCATGCTAAGAGAGGCAAGGGCTCGAGTTCCTGATATACTGATAGAATTAGTTTTGCTGCAGCTTCTCAGAAAACTAAACAATCACAATCTTTTACTGCTAGCCCGGGTGGAGTATATGGAGAAAGAACTAATCTATGTCATATATGTGGCAAATTTCACTGGAGAGTGTGTAGATTTCTCTCTGGCACTTATTTCCATTGTGGAGAAACTGGTCACTATGCTCAAAATTATCTACAGAGATATGGAGGTAGATCAATACAATCTAAGAGATCAGTAGCAACATCTATTAGAAGCAAAGGAAGAGGAATATTCGACGGTCAATCTAAGTCAAACCATTGACAATAGACTCAGGGAGTGACCCAAATTTATAATAATAAGACTAATAAAGATTGGGATGACCCAGAGATTTTAACAAGTACATTCCATCCTTTTGATAAACATGTATTTGTTTTGATTGACTTTGGTTCTACATACTCGTCTATTAGTACAAAGTTGATTAGAGCCAGAGGAATTCATTTAAAACCAATATTTAGTGAGATGATAGCGGTAAACCCCATGGACCATAGTGCGAGGGTAATGCGGGTATGTAGAAATGCCTGATAAAGATTCAAGGGGTTGTGTTCCCGAAAAACTTGATGGAGTTACCCTTTGATGAGTTTGAAATTATTTGGGCATGGATTGGTTGCCTCCACATCGTTGATGGGTTGATTGTTGCAAGAAACGATTATTTTTTAAGGATATGGAAGGCTTAGAAATAGTAGTGATCGACAAGAAAGCAAAATTGCCATCCAATGTGATATCAACCATGACTGCAAAGAAAATGATGTCAAAAGGGTGTATAGCTTTCCTAGCTAACGTGATAGACACTTAAGTACCAGAATTGAGACTAAACGATATCCCAACAGTTAAGGAGTTTCTAGAGGTTTTTCCGGAAGAATTACCAGGTTTACCTCTAGATCGTGAGGTGGAATTCAGGATTGAGGTTTACCCTGGTACCAAACCTATTTCTATGGCTCCATATCAAATGGCTCCAATGAAGTTAAGAGAATTAAAATCCCAATTTCAAAAGCTTCTTTATAAGGGATTTATCAGACCCAATGTTTCTCATTGGGGAGCACCTGTGCTATTTATGAAAAAAAATGACAGGTCTATGTAGTTATATATAGACTATCGTTAGTTATATAAAGTAACGATAAAGAACAAGTATCCTCTTCCGATGATTGATGATCTGTTTGATCAACTGAAAGGTGCATCGATGTTCTCTAAGATAGACATGAGGTCGGGGTACCACTAATTAAAGATTAAAGAGGATGATATTTCAAAGATAGCCTTTCGGACTCGGTATGGACATTATGAATTGTGGTGATACCATTTGGATTGATTAATGCTCCTACAACATTTATGGACTTGATGAACCGAGTTTTCCAACCTTACTTGGATCAATTCATGGTGTTATTTATATTATCGTTGATTGCTAAACTTAAGTTAAAGTTGATGCTTTTGGAT